GAACATCCCTTTATCTGTATTCTGTCAGAACTTTGGCACTAGCTGTCTTAGTGCTCACAAAGATACCTAATGGAGACCTAGAAGCACTTTTCCAGAGGCAGGGTTCTCTTTTTGAAATGTAAAACATTATGAAGTTGTCTGCAAACTTCTTGGAAAAAAAAAAAAATTAAAGCACACTTCCAAGCACAAAACCAAGGAAACAAAAGACATAAGAAATAGAAATAATACATGTTTTGAGGTGAAGTCTCTCTCTTATATTGTAATCATAAAAACTACAGGTTTGCGTTTGGGGTTCTTGTATGTTTGTTTGTTTGTGGGTAGGGTGGGTATGCAGTGCAGGCTGGGATTTTTTTGGTTGCTCTTTCTTTTTCAAAAAATGCTAGGAACTCTTGAAATAAAACCACGAGAAATAGTGCTGTACACAGATGAGGACTGAGTTTGAGTTTTCATTTATGCTTATCTTCCGATGAAATTATCCAGAGTTCAGAGCCATTTTTTTCTCACCTTACTCTATTAATAACTATGGAAATGCTGCCCAGTTAACTTTTTGCTAACCTTTATTGGCCTTATCCCATAACATGGCTTACACTTTTACTTCTTTTGTATCCTGCTCTGATAAAACATTCAAGAACATCTATAGCATTAAGCATGAGTAGATAATTGACTTCAAAAAATACACATTTGTTCAAGCCTTAATTACAACCCCCTTTTTTTTTTTCTACTTCTTCTGCACTACTTCTTAAGACAAATCAGATGTGACTTTGGTTAAGGTTTTTCTCACTAGTAATTGCCGCATGTGTGTCATACTGATGACCTGTAAGAATGAAGAAAAATTGTGTGGGAAATTTATGGGTAAGGGAAACGAAGGAAAGTTCACATGTATTTCATGCCTCATTACAATAATCCCTACTTGTCTTCTACCATGTGTCCCTCTGGATCTGTGCCCACCTTCCTCTTCCTATTTGCATAATTTCATTCCTAATGATTTGCCATCATAGTTTCAAATTAATTATGTGACTTCCCCTTGCTGTCTGATTTGGCAACCAATTCCATGTATTGATTCTGTATATTTTTTTGGAGAATAGACACCTCTTAATATCTGCTCTATAGCAATATATAAGTTTCTGGATGAAACTTATATAAAATCTCTTAAGGTCTTTGTCTTTACAAGGCAAATAACAATTAAATGGATCTCCAAGTACATCCTTACTGTTAATATGTGTGTTTATGTACATGCTTCCACACACAAACCTGTATTTAAACTCTCTTAATTAAGATAGGTTTCATTATCCTTACTGTAAAGAGAGATGTGTTTACAGGTATCTGACTATTCAGATTCCTATGTTGTATCAGTGTCTCAGGTCAGGCGGAGATTTTATCTGCCCTTTCCACTAAAATCATTGAAATATATTCAGTCAGTCTTTCACATCAGAGGTGTAAATGGATTTCTTGAAAGTTTTTCTGCAGATAGCAAACAGCAGTCACTTTACAACTTTGACTCCATTGTGGGCAGCAGTCGGAAAGCTTAACACTCCACCCAAACTTTGAAGATGCTAAAACTGTGTAGTGACCTTGCATTCTCAAGGGCAGATGCTCAGCTTCTGCTGGAAGTGCTAATCTACAATCTGTTTATCTCCATACTCTGTGTATTTGACAGCACTTGCCTGGAAAGCAAGGCAGGGAAAAGGATCGTCAAATTTAGTTACTTTTTCCTCTCTGATGGTGTTAGTGTCCAATGGACTTAGAAACCATAGTCCTTATTTTAATTTTTAGCTTCCTTTGTGCTTCTCAGCCAGTCATAGCTTTAGAAAGCAGCCACACTGCCACTGTCAGGATATGCTTGTCTTTGTGAAACCTCTGCTGGAGCATGAAATGCGCTGTGTGGAATAACTGTTCTCTCCCACCTTTTCTTTATACTTAGTGAACCAGACTTTGGCTTTACCTTCAAAATGTAAATTGTCACCCGTATTTTCTGTCAGTAGGCTTTAGACTCTATTTATTATTCTTTAGTAGGCATGAATTGAGATGCATTACATAATGCCTATGAGCATATTGAGGAGCATGTTTCTGATGAAGAGGTAATGTGTTGAAGCAGGGTGGTGTGTGTGCAGGGAAGGGTAATGCCTTTTGTTAGACAAATACACCATAGTATGTAAACCCTTCTTCAAATGTGAGGCAGAAACCTGAAGGGAAGGGCTTTTGCACATAAAAGCGGGTCAGTATTTTTAGGTAACATATAAGTGGGCTTTACATGCCCAAAGTTTGTTGTTTACCAGCTCCATCAGTCAGTTGGGTAACAGAGGTTCCTGCCCCTAATAAATCTTGCTTTGCCAGCACCCATCACCACAGCACAGTCACCACAGCACTACTGAGTGAGAAAAACCCCTTTGGTTTTAATATAATTCCTGTGGTTTTTCAAACTGGCACTCCTTATCAAAATAAAACATTAACATCAAATTACTCTGATTCAGCAACAGCATCTATTTTTTAATATGAACTTGTCTGTTCTGTCAGGTAATTGTTTCGCTTCCCAGGGAATTGTGTATGTGTTGCAAATGGGAAAGTTCAGCCTTGTAAATCCTTTCTGTGGTGAGGCAACAGGAAACTCGCTTCTGATTATTAAGATCACCAGGTTTAGTAGCAAAATTTAGCAACAAATTGCTAGAATTGACCTTTTGAACGCTAGATTTTCAACATGCTCAGTCAGGAATCTCTTTATGATGTCTAGCAGGATTCTCTTCCTCTCCACTTACAGAATTATGAAGAAGTGTTACTGTCACAGAGGTGCCACTTCCTTTTGTGACACATTCTTTGAATTAGCAGTGGCTGTTGCTCATTGTGATAATATCACCAAGCTTCTAGAGTATATATAGCAGGTCACAGCTCCCATCCTAAAGAGTAAGGACACTATTTATCAACAAAATAAAGGGGAAGTTTGGTTTGGTTTGCTTTGGCTTTTTACCTTTGCATTTTTTTTGGTAGTGTATAAAAGTGCACTGAGGTGTGAGCCGTGTAAGAAATTACTAATGGTGCTGAATCAATGAGTTCCTTCAGATGTAGAGGAGAGCTGGCTGTACTCACCAGCTGGCAGTGTGCTCTCTTCTCCCTACACTCGATGCTCAGTTGGAGTATGGAATGCTTCTGGTGTGTCACCTCCCGCTCCATCCGTGCTCTTCTTGGCTCATGCAGAAGGCCGGAGGTGGAACCCTGCTGCAGTGGCGTTCTGCCATCCCAAAATTACAGAAGGCTAAGGGAATACTCAGGCACTTGGTAATATTAGAGATGTACAGTGTAGTTGTTAATGGGGAAAGGGGAAGAAGAGGAAGGTCTGGCTCATGTATTTTTAGTAGTAGTCCATAAAAGCATCACAGATGCTGCTGTAAACAAGTGTCAGTTCAGCTCTTGGTGCTTCCTCCCTTCCTTAACTTTTGTTTTTTCCTCTCCTGCTGATATTCTTAAACACTTATATTTCTTCATATCTGTTATCTGCATTTTGGTCTAGTCCTCCTGTAACAGAAAGTGACTCCCTGAAGCAATTCTTACTGCTTCTACTTCTTCTCTTTTTAGTCTCCTATGATCTATCTCAATTGTGACATTTGTAAAAAGATAAAGTATTATGGATAGCTAGGCTGTGGGGCAGTCAGATATGGCATATATTATTTATTTCAAAATATGTTTTTAAATTCTGCAGAGCCTTCAAGTTGCACAGCTTAACTGTTGCCTCCTTGATCCTTCCTGTCTGCTGTAATTTGTGGCATTTATTTGTTGCATTTTGTTTTAGGAACACAATAGGAACTCTCTGTGGCTAATGGTCTGTCTGGATCTGTGATTTTTTGTGAACCCAGAAAGCAAATACAAAACTAGTGATTTAAGGTTTTTCTTAATATTAGCTTCCAAAAGATTGAAGTAAAGCTGTGTTACTCAAGGTTAAATGAAAAGTAGGAGACAACTGCTTTTTTCATTCAATTGTTTTTCTACTCGTAGCTAAAAAACCCATAAAATAAGCATCCTTTTAGATAAATGTGAGCAAGTTTTGGACCTTTGTCCTTTAAAAATAAAGCTTGTGAATAGCAGAAAAACTAGCTATTCTTGAGACCTATCTGGATGAAGAATAGTCTTGGCTTAGAGAAGTTCCAAGCAAGCTCTGTGAATTAGCATGCATTAAATGATAGAATCATTTTATTGAGCAATAATAAAATATTGAAGTCAGATGGAAGGATGATGGGGAATTGCTATTTGCAGCTATGAAAGTGATGCATGTCATGTTAACTCCCAATCCAAACAACTCATTCTAAGATTTGCTCTCATGAAACTTAAAATCCTCTGTTTTGTCCAATCATCAGCTTTAAACCTGTTCCTTGTCAGTGAAGACAACAAATCTTTTTGCTTGCATCTGCCTGGGGGATGTGGAAAGCTGAGGTGTGGTCCTGTGTGATTAAATTAGATGAAAGACTTGCCTTCTACCAGTGAGACATGAAGTCTAATCAAGTGAAATGAGTTTTGAGATCTCAGCTCGTTTCCTTGGGGAATATCTGCTTACATTACACAGTCACGACACCTAATTCATCACAGTTGATGCAGCTTTTGCTCAGAAGAGGACCTGGGACTGGGTAGCAGGGGACTTGATCACAAGTCTCCCCCTCAGGAGGAGCAGCTTAGTGAAGTTAAGATACAGCACAGTGAGCGAAGAGGTTTAATATATTTTTTAAAATAAATGATCTATATATCTACGTATCAGATCTTTTTAGAATAGAGGGGATTTGGTGTAAAATGGAGAAAGCTAGAGGTGAAAAAAGGCACTTTGTACTGAGTGTAATTTATAAAATGATTGACATACAAATGTTAAAGAACATACACAGTGAAGAGCGAAGTTGAACTTCTTGTTACTTAATTACTGTGATGTTGGGTGGTGTTTGTGGGTTTCCATGTACTAAGGTACAAGGAAGTAGAACCTATTCTGCTTCCCTGACTAACCAACTGTTTTTGTTTGTTTCTTCCAGGGCATTGTTATAACTCCACTTCTGCTTTTGCTTTTTGTAAGTATTGTGATCTTAATGCATCTTCTTACTGGGTAATCTTGCACCTATTAGGCAGTATATTTAAGATACAAATTTGGGTGATTTTCACTCCGCTTAAAAAATGAAGAAGATTTTTCTGGTCAGTATTTGAAATAAGCAGTCTCCCAGGAAGGCCATCAAAGTGTATCACAATGAATGTAAACATTACTTGCACCTCATTCTAAGAGGACCAAGACCCATTGTTCTTGCAGAATTGCAAAACCATATGATATTAGTCTGTATAAAATCAAACACGTGCCAGGTAGTATGATAACTCGATTAGGAGATCTCTTGGAGAGCTTCCACATGTAGGAGCTGGACAAGATCATACTGTATGACATGTATGACAGGCCAATTGTAAAAGCAATTCAGATAAACAAAGACTTGCTGTTGGGCAACTAAGCCCATGGGTATATTTGCGCTAGAGGTAAGCAAGACAAATTACTGAAGCTCCTGTGTATCACTACGTGTGATGCTGCTTCATTCCTGTTAGTTCAAGATTTCTTTTCCAATCATTAGTCTTTAGTCAGGGCCTTGGATCCTGACAGTTCATGGTAGAAGAAAAGGGAGAAAACCAAGTTTTGTCTTCATGCTTATAAAAGAAGAGGCTTTCACAGATAGGTAGTGGTGCTTCAGTAAATCTCTTGTCAGTTAGGAAGTCTTGGTGCTTGGGGATTTGCTGGCACAAACAGTGTGGTGTGGTGCAAGTTACTGAGGACTGTGGCTTTGTGAAGAGCAGGGAAAATAAGCTGAAGCACTTAAAGGATTTCAGGAGAGGTATACATTGTCTTTTATGTTTATCTTACTAATGGCTTTGTATGTCAGCCAGCACACTGGAAAGGGTAGAAACAATTTGTAAGTGGCATGCAAGTGGTGCACTGTTTATGGTAGGGATGCTTAAGCAGCATATGTACTGTACACAAATATAGCAGTGTAAACTGGGATAAATAGTACTGTGAGAGTGGCTGTAAGATTATCAACTACTGCTTCAGTAAAACTGTGTGGGAAGATTTTTATTTTACTACAACAAATTGGGATTTATCTGACATAACTGTGTTTACACACAAACTGCTTTGACTGTATCATATATATATATCGATACACACCAGCAAAGCTTTCAGATATACCTGGGACCATAGACCTACAGGAGGTTGAAAAAGATAACTGCTCTTAAAAAAAAAATGGGTGTTTTGTTGTTCTTCCACTGAATACATTGATTCTGGATGGTCTACCTCACTGTTTTCCAGTTTTCTTCCCTCTTGTATGGAATGGGGTTCTTCCATGGGCATTCATCCAGAGACCTGTACCTTTGTTTCTCAGTGACTGAAACGTCAGCTGTTTTTTGGTTTTGTTCACTGGTAGCTTTCACCCTGTTATACCTTATAGAGTTTTAGTAGTCAAAAGGGGTATCTTCTGTAGAAACTGAAATGTTAAGGAAAGATCTGTACATCTCTTCAAGCAAGATTCCTTTGGTGTCTTTATAGACAGATAACAAGATATCCTGTCCCATAAATTGCGGTTTTCACTGTTACTTCTCAGAAGAGGTGGTAAAACTTCATTTGTGTAAGAACAGGAAGGCAAAGCATATGTGTCTGTTCTTCCTACCAGCCCTGGAGACATTTGTATGAGAAGTGTGTAAAATGCACAATAATTGTTGGGCGGTTTGTAACATGACTCGGGAGTTGTTTTTCTTGAGGAAGATATGCACATGAATTATTTTTTCATCAGAGTGATAAACAAACTAGTCTGGGGATGAGGGGAGTTACAAAAACTGCATTTTTTTGTCACAAGGCCCAGAACTTGAGCACTTCTCTTGGGGTTTATAAATATTTAAAACTTCTTGAGGTCTTTGCTGAGGGTTTCAGACATGAAGAGCAGCATTCAGGTCAGCCCAACAGCACATCTTGCTTAGATGAGATCTGCCTTCTCTGAGGGTTCAGTTTATCCAGTGGTATGTATTTGGGAGAGCAAACTAAATGTGCATACCCTGATGCACTGTTCTTGTACCCTGACAGTCTGTGGTTTGGACTGCTGAAACCTTTCTTCTCTCACAAACCTCTCCAGTTTTCATTTGAGTTTTCTTGGTGCATCTGGCCTGGCTGAGATGTAGTGGATTCAAGCACACAGTTCACAGGTTTCTGTTTCCTTGCTTACAACCTGCAGTTTGATCATTTCATGTGGTACTGTGGATTTACTGCAGAATGACAATGACTAGTAATTTCCTGGTTATCTTTTCTGGACCATTCATTAGTTTAGTCATGCAACTTATCCTTAGTGCTTAATTAATAAAGGGTGGAATTTTCAAGTTTCAAAATAAAACTCCTTTTTACTTTAACAATAACTGAACTGGGCTTCTGAATACTATTCATAGACCTTTAAAGTCAATGTCATCAATGAATTTTAATTCCTTGGTCTGGTACTCACAAGCACTAACTCTTCCACAGAGTCATGCTATGATAGTCTGAATGCTATGTTGCATTAGTGATCATATTTGTTAGTCTCCCTGTTTACAGTACATAAAATAACCTTAGTGCTGCCAGAAATTAAATACATTGTTGTCTATTAAGTTGGTTTTGTTATATAACTTAGCTTTTGTTATATAACTGAGGTAGCAGTTATCGTTTATATTTTGCCCTATATGCACCAGAGAATATAATGTTCTGAAATACCTTTCCTGTTCATAATTGCCTAGTAATGTAAATATAAACTGTCTAAACAACATTGATAAAGGCATATTGAAGCTATAATAAATAATGCATTAATAGAAATAATTTATTATCTTACATGGATGGTGTTGAACACAAGATCATCAGTTACATTTCGGAAAAGTGTATTTCTACCATGGAATTTTTGGTGTAAAGCTTACTCAAAATTAACAGGTTCTGATTAATTTAATGAAACCTTAAGTACTGTGCATGTAATTACTGGACTGTATCTTTGTGAGGATGCTTAGCTAAAGTTTATGAAGAGCAACTGACTTTGCCACAGATACCTCTGATTAACATTTTGCCTGGTAAGAAGCTATTGAATCTGGCTTCCAGCTACTTTAATCAGCAATATCATCATCCTCATGTTAACCCTTGTTATTAACAGTTAATATGTCATATTCCCAACAAAGATGTTACAAATGGGCAATGTCCCATAAACTATATATAATTGATTAGAGTTCATATATGTGGTGAGCTGGAATGTCGAAGCAAAGTGCTGTAAGTTACATCAGTTTCAAGTTAACATGAGGTTATGCTGTTCACATTTCTTTGCAACATTCTGCAATGTTTCATTAATGATGGTTAGGAGGCTGTGTACCAAAGCATTCAGAGAAGGATGCTGTCTGTCTTCCTCTTGTCAGGTCGTATACTTAGCTGAAGCCAGAGGTGACACATTGATCATGGAATTGTTTAAAGTAGAGAAATAAGTTTCATTTTATCAAAGGCATCTGGGGGGAAAAAAAGCCCACCAACTAGAATAAGTGTAGACTAAATTTTGCTTTTGAAAATAACTATATTGCTATCAATAAATAATGACTACGAATCGGTTAAGTTATGGCCAAGGGAGTAAGGCACTTGGGTATGACTGCCCATCTTTACTTATCATATAATTTGTTCTCTGTGTTCAGTGTAGTTATTTCCTTCAGTATTTCTATGATTCCTACATACTACATTCCAACATTGTATGATTCCTAATAACAGTTTATGATTTGAATTCGTAAGTATGCTGCATTTGGGCCCATTTATGTTACTAAAAGACAGTTAAATGAAAGGTGTCATCGTACTGTGAAGATAATAGTGCTGTAATCTCTTTGATAACCTCAAGATGTCAACACCTTTTTATGAAGTCTCATTTGCAATACACTATTTCAGGAGCACTGAACTCTGCAACAGTGGCAGCTGTATCATGTCACTAACACGCCCTTAGACTGTAACTTTAGTCATGGAAAACATGAATACGTATGAATGGAGGTTTATTTTCATTGTGGGATTTCACATGCCTTTGTATTGCACAGGATGGAGGCCAGCCTGATGCCTCAGCAAGGTAATGTCTCTTGGATTTGCCTTGGAAGCAGCATGAGCACAGATATTGTACTAACACCTAAGGGAATAATGCAGTTACCTTTCTTGCTACTTTCCAGCCATGCTGGGATAAAGTTGCCCTGTCTGTCCTTAAAGCTGGCTGAGCACATGGACTGGCAATTTTACCAAGCCACACAAACTTATGATTTTGTTGAATGTAACAGGTATAAAAATAGAAGCAATCAGTCATCTGCACCTGTTGGAGCCAAATGTGATGCTGTGGTTTTTACGGCACAGTATCCCAGCTCTGCCACCTTCTTGGTATTACCCTTCTGATGACACTCAGTGCTTGACAGATGTGGTCTCTTCAGTTGCTGGAAGCACAGCCAGTTAGCTATCAAATTAACGAACATCCAAGTGTGTGAATCTCTGTATTTTTATCGAAAGACTTAAAAAAGTGTTAGAGATAAGTCAGTATTTTACATTTTTATGTACTTTACATTCTTCAGAAACATGCCATTTAATGTGGAGTGTTAAAGAACCAATGCAAAATTCATATGTATTTTTAAAAATACACTTGGCAAAGCTTTCATGTAACTGTCAGGCATTACTCCCCTCTTAGCTGTTTTACCAGTGAAGACTACCATGACATTTGTGTCAAAATGGAATCTTCCCAAGGCTTTATCAGCTTGCTCCTGCTCTTGATTTATTCAGTTATGTTTTCTTTTCTGATACTCTCTCAAATTCCTGAATTTTATAGTGGGTATTTTTATGTTGGCATTGTAGTGGTGATGCTGTAAGTACTAGCAAGTAGCACTGCTGAAAGAATTCAAGAGTAGACAAGTGAAGGAAATTCAGTGCAAGTATCACAGAGAAAAGTGAAATAAAGTGAGTGGTGAATAAGGACGTGAGTGAAATTAGAAGCTGATAGAAATACTGAAAAGCTTTCCCCTGTACTCACAATCTTTA